TACTTTATTTGTCAACAAGGAACAATATGCGATGGAATTGAAGGGTTATGTACCGCACTTCGAAGGTTTGCGTACCCATGTAGACTCAGTGATTTAATTCCACGATTCGTCCGCCCAGTTCCAGAGCTAAGTATGATTTCCAGCCTTGTGGTGGACACAATTTATCGGGAACATAATCACAGAATAACTCAGTGGAATGATATACTCCTGAACCTTGCACTTCTCGAAACCTACGCTCGTGCAATTCAGCAAAACGGTAGTCCATTACACAACTGCTTCGGTTTTATAGACGGAACAGTACGGCCAATTTGTCGACCTGACCAAAACCAAAGGATTGTGTACAATGGGCATAAGCGAATGCATGGTCTAAAATACCATTCTGTGGCACTACCCAATGGTATGATAGCCAACATGTTTGGCCCAGTAGGTAAGTTTTATAATTGAGGCTGTTTGGTTGAATTTGAAAATTTCATGCCGACCATAAACTGCAATATCACTTATGTTGATCTCATTTTAGAGGGCAGAAAGCATGATTCAGCCATGTTGGCCGATTCTGGTCTTCTGCAAGATCTCGAGCAACATGCATTCTCAACAACACGAGAACCAATGGCTCTCTATGGCGACCCGGCATATCCTCTGCGTGTTTATCTCCAGGTACCTTACAGAGGTGTGGGGATTACACCCCAAATGGAGCTGTACAACAAAGCCATGAGTTCCGTTCGCATGTCTGTAGAGTGGGACGTTTTAAATTATTTTAAATTTCTAGACTTTAAGAAAAATTTGAAGATCTCACTTAGTGCAGACGGCAAAATGTACATTGTGGCTGCCATTCTGCGAAACGCCTTAACCTGTATGTACGGCAACTTACTTCGGAGTATTTTGCTTTGGACCCTCCTACTATTCACGATTATTTTGCTTGATCAGGAACACAAAACGTCCAGTGTCTGTAACATTAAGTCTTTAATCAAGTTTATTTGAATCGAAAAGTCTGAACATGAAGCTGATATAACATGGAAATGCTAACAATGAATAAAAACAAGTGTACAAAACAAAATCACGAAACGTATGCCTAAAAACTACATTATTGCACAGTGCAAAATCAGGCCATGACTTAGTTTTGTTTTTCTAGAAGTTTTATGATAATTTGAGACTGCTGCTGCTGCATTAAGGTGAACATCTGCTGAAAATTTTGCATCTGTTCTTGTTGCTGTTTAGTTTGCTGCAGCATGACCTGGATCAAATCCTGGTGTTGCTTTTTGGACTGCTTCTCCTTCTTACCCTCAGCCTCTAGTCGCTGCTTCTGTAGCTGCATTTCTTCCATTTTCCATTTCTGCATGAGGTCGTTTTTTTCTCGCAAATATGCCACAGTGTCACCTCCACTTCTTCAACGTTTTGCTGTTCCTTCTGTTTCATTCTCTACCTCATCTTTCCTTTGTCTTTTCTGTATCCCTCCAAGGTTCTCTAGAGCTCTGTTTCTCATTTCCGCTGCTTTGGCACTATCGACTTTCTTTTTATCATTTTGCGTTGTTTCTTCGACCACAGCTTCTTTTTCTGCTATCTCCTCAAGTGCTTTTTCAACGTCACTCAAATCCGTATCTATTCCACTTGCCTTTTCTTCATCTCGCATCTTTGCGCTAAGTTTGTCGCTCAAAAGCGTATATCGTTCTCTGACAGATGGCTTCGTCACTCTGCATTTGGGGGTGTTCAAGGCTGTTCAGATTGATCGCTATTTCATCCCAAATTTGGCCCCTTGCTATGCTTCCTTTCTTTGCCTTGAATGGTCCAAGAACGAGAATCTCCTGACAAAGACAATTGTCATGTTGTTCAGTCCACTCCATGTTGGTTCTAAAGATAAAAATAAAATGCTAGAAACGCTTATTTTCTTTTTGTTTGTGTTGCATGTTGTTTGTCTTTTTTTTTTACTGCAAGCAGAACCCTTTTTTGTTTACCACATATGAAAGACACTTTCACAAACATAAATAATCGAGAGATTATCATTTACTAAGCGTAAATACCTATACATTCATTGTTCAAAACGCGAAGGAAAAAAAAAACAGAACTTAAGGAGCAATCTTCTTGGCACTCGTGCCGGTTGCAGCCATGACCTGTTCAGTGGAGTAGAAAAAAAACATGTTTTTTTTTCTGGAAAATCAGGTCCCAGAAGAGCAGGCAAACGAATTTAAATCAGATTAGTGCCATTCATGATCTGAGAGTGAACAATAAACCAGTCACTGAGCCCTTCGACATTTGCGAAATCCTAAACAATTATCTTACCTCTATCGGTCCTACCCTTGCCTAGGGGTTACCAAATGGATATACATAACTCCAGCAACATACTACGGCAGTGGAAGTTTTAAAAGTCCTAAATAAGTTATCTCCACATAAGGCCCCTAGACTTCATAATATTTCCTGCATATTTCATAGAGAAGTAGTATGACACTCATTTCCGCTTCCTTGTCAGCTATCATCAATAAAAGTTCGAATATTGACGTTTTTCTTTTAAAACGGAAAAAGACCAAAAATTTCCCCTGTATTTAAGGTAACTTACCATACAGACCCACAGAATTACAGGTCAAACTCGGTCCCATCAGCCCCGTCAAAAGTATGTGAAAGGATCGAGTAAGGAACATGATCTTTTATCAAAAAAACAGTCTGTTTTATTCCCTTCACTTCACATTAACAACTTTGATAGATGTAACAAATGAATGGTATCTTAACCCTCGGACGTACAAGGGGTAGCTGGTGGTCAAGCCATCTTTTAGTGAAAATGCATGTTTTTTAACTTCGTTCAGCAATAAAAGTAAAAGTTGTGGATAAAATGATGTAAAGTAATTATGTGTTATTTTACATGTTAAGAGCGCCATGTCCGAGAAAATCAGACAAATTCAAAATTTCGCGGTAAAGGTGGAAAATTCGATTTCTTTCAATTTTTAATGCTAGATAAGCTAGGGTCCAACTAAAATCACTTTATAGTTTTTTTTCGTTGAAATATCCTTTTGTTTGAGCGATAAATCCAAATAACCAAAATCCGTTAAAATCGTCATTTGAGGCACTCAATTATGACTTGGTTTTCAAACCCTCGCGTGCAAAATCCGATTACGTTACCGTCTTTAAAGCAGCACAACCTTCTTTTACAACTTCTAAATATCTGTTAAAATTATTTGGGGAGAACTGCTCTGTTCTTTGTATACAAAATACAGTGGCGGATCCAGGCGAGGGGGCCCCCCCTTATTTTTAGACCAAACTGAGGCCCGAAGGGCAGAAAAATTTTTTTTGCAGACCGGCCCCCGCCTTATCTCAGGGTCTGGATGACCGGCCCCACCCTTATCTCAGGGTCTGGATCCCGCACTGAAATAATTTAATTTCGAACGTATATAATTTACTTCAGTAAAAATAATGCGTGAAAAAACATAATTTTCACCATGTGCAAAACCTTTAAACCGATTAAGGTGATGGTGGCTGAATGTTATAAGGATGGTCTACATATTCCTAAAAAAATGCTTTTGGGCAAATGATTAATAGCGACGCGAGAGCTTTACAAAATCGGTAAAAAATGCAGATATTTGACCTTCCGCGGTCATCTTTGCAGCTGCGAGTCGGACATAAAATTTAGTCCCTTCACTTTTCTAAACCCACACTAGGTTAAAATAAGCAGATTAATAACCTTTTTGAAATGTTCTTACCTTATGAGCAGTAAAGCACCGGTCCAAAGAACATTTAAGCACGATTTTCGGGTGTTACTCGCTTGACCTCTGGTTTGTAACGTCTGCAATGTTTATACCTTACGCCTGAGGCTGCGTGCAAACGGACGCAACAACTCCCAACAATTTTGGGAGTTGTTGCGTGCGTGTTGGCAGTGGTGTAAGCTGATGCAACAACTCTCAACAATTTTTGGACCTGTAGTGCATCGTGGGAAGGATACAACCCATAAGTCTTTGTAAACCATGCGTAATGAGCGTGCGTGGCTCCAACAATAATGGAAGAGCTGTGCAAACGGATCCAACATTGTTGCGTTACGCTTCGGCAATCACCGAACAAAAGAAATGTTGAGAGTTGTTGACTGAAAAGTTTGACCGGTTTCAAACTTTGCGCAACAACACGCAACAACATCCAACAACATGCAACAGGGTGTGCAAACGGACGCAACATGTGACATCCAACTATGTTGCGTCCGTTTGCACGGGGCTTGACACACAGCGTCAACCTTCAACGTCTTCAACGGTCGAATACCAATCTTTGATCAGTTTTAGGCGAATTTTATCGCGATTGCATTTTTTTCGACGGCTTAGGCATATGTTGCACAACGCTTTTCACTGCACGAAATATTTTTAATCTGACTGCTGCTAAAATGGCACAATAATGTCGGCGCTGTTCGTCACGCAATAGTGTCATGTGCATTTTAGCGGGGGAGGAGTGGTGGTGATTCAAAGTACATGTAGTACACTAAAAAAAATTTTTTTAAGCCGATTTATTAGGGAATACTACGCATTTACACAATGGCGTTATTTTACTACTACGACCAGAATCCCTTTTGTTCAAAGATGGCTCGGGTTAGTTTTTAAGCAAATGCAGAGGCAGTGTTCAAACCCGCCTCCCCAGCCGACACAATTTGCTTCAATTTCCTCCCCCCTTCCATCAAAGATCAGATACTTTACTCCCAAGTTTTGCGAGGTTGTGCGATACACGTATTTCTAGTATATATCTTTTTGAATTTTGTAATCCCAGCGAGGTCAAAAGCCCTTATTTGTACAAGAAAGCAAAACGGCCTACAGGATCTGGTCGTAAAATGACGTCATCGTGCAAATGGCCTTTTTCTTCTTACTTGGTTGCTTCATCTTTGCTAAACCCTAGTTTGTACTTCAACAGGGGCGGACGGAGGATTTTGTGATAGAGGGGGCCTAGAGATATAGTATACAGTGGCAATATGGGCGCGATAGCGCCTGTAAGGACTGCGAACAGCGCACTTTTCTCGGTGAGCATTCGGACGTCAGCCAAGCGCGGTCATTGCACGCGTACTGAACAATAATGCTGTATCATGACAGACTAGAAACAATAGAAAACTCCCAAAGCACAAACTCATCCAAAACGTTAAATTCCTCAATGTTTACTCAAGTCTGGGCTTCTAGAAGACACTGTCACACTTTTTCAACGACCATGAAATTCAGAATCCGAGTAGCTAGTTAATCAGTTGTGGCCCTGAAAAAATTAGAAGGAAAAAAAACCACGAATTTTTCAGAAAAGTTACATGTAACTTTCGCGATTTTTTCACACGCTGAATAGCCATAGCCACAGCCCATAGCCACAACTATAACTATAAATTCCGATGAATTCTGCAGCAATTTTATTTAAATATTAAGTGAGAACTTCAAATCGTGATTGTTAAATTAGATATCCCAAATATTGATTTTATCAAAATAACAACAATCTAACGAAGTATAACGCCGAAATAAGATAGAATACCCACCCGAACCCACATAGCCTACGTGGCTGGCGGTATTGTCTCGGTGTGCAATTAAAGTTTTGGCAGCGCAGCCGTGATCTGGGGACGAGGCATTTTGGTATTTCTTTTTCCCGTGGCTTATGCCACTTGTGACGGCTTTGCCGCCAAAACACACTCGACTGCTACACAATACTGCCAGTTACGCAGGCTACAAACTACAGGTCACCCAAACAGAAGCAATAAGAAGCAATAACTAATTTGATTGATTTTACTTTTCAGGGGTGTGTTGTATCATTGTATCTGTCGGTCTTTTATACGGAAAATGCGATGTTTGGGCTATCTTAACTTGATGTGAGAAAAAAACATATAAAAACAAATTAAACGAAACAGAAAAAAAAACAGGACAAAAGAATATGCTTCCTTCTTTCGGTTTCCTTTGTTTTCGGTTCTAAGGTGTATTCATTCCCTGAATCACTGATAGTGGCCCTGATACTGTATAGTAAAATCACCCGGTCCGCGATCCCCAGAAACAAAGTTGTAAATAAACAAATGATCAGTATTTGGATTTTAACAAGGAAAAGCCGTATCTAAGGGTATCACTACTTAAGGTATAGGTTCACTCTATAACGGAGAGCTTTTGTCCTGGCACAAAAAGCATACCAGCCCAGGGGGATACTCAACAAACTTTTATGCAGGGAGGCTCCGCCCTGAGGTCCAACCCCTTTATACCCATTTATATACCACTTTTCACGAATAAAAGAAACCCTTCCGTATACCTTCTATTGACACATGGTACCCCTTTCACATACCTGTTTAATAACTTGGCATCCCTTTTAACTGATGTAAATGCACTTTCATTTAAATGAGAATCAATCACAAAAATAGAACGTTTTTTCAACTTTATAAAGCCGTAAAATTCTTCTGTTACCCCTTTGCATTGCTGGGCCCTTTCACAGACCCAAATGACTGATTCCCCGGCCTATCCGTTCGTACACTTTAACGAGCAAAATCGCTACCCTTTCATATACCTGAAGCCTGAAAAAGGTACTCCTTTCGGGTGGAGCCTCCCCTTATATAGGTCATTAAAGGGAGTACACCCCCCGGGCATACCAGAACGCATAAGAACGGTGATTTCGACGCAAAGATGCGACGCGCCGATCTCTAAACAGGAGAGTCACAAAGGGGATAGCTTTTTGTGTCTTCACGAAAAGCTAGCCGATATAGTGTGAACTTAGCCTTAATTATTGCTATTGCTCTCGTTGTGACCGTTTGCTATTTCACCCTTCTCCACCCCGGCCTCTAAATTGGATCGCCTGACTTACAAACGGCTGCTTGCAATTCACAGATGTGAGCACCAACAAAGTTTGTGTCATTCAGTTGTAGCAATCAGATGTAATATCTGATAATAATTTCAGAACTCATTCGAATGTTCTTCATTAGTTACGACGCGTGCAAGCGCTCCTTTGGTGTTTGAAAGCAAACAAAACCTCGCATTTGACTGCACTTTTCAATGCTGTAGTTTAAAAAAGGATATGGCTACGGATCTTGATTGTGACTTATAAATAATCATGACAAAATTAGGACCAGAGAAGAAGTCCGGATAATCGAGAAATCCGGATAATCGAGGTCCGGATAATTGAGGTTCGACTGTACATTCTAAGCAATGTTTAACAAATGACTGAGCCGTCGAAAAAGATGCAGTCATAATGAAAAGCCCCTAAAGTTGATCAAAGAATGGTATTCGTCCTGTGAATACGTTGACAGTCGGCGAGGTGTACACGTACATTTAGGGAAGAGGTTCCATCAACCTTCCTTGTACCACGATGGGGGTATGACTTTCCTTGTACGCATGAGGGTTGACATTGATTAGGCGTTACTACTTCGGCCGAGTTTAGATTTCACTAAAGCCTTTGATACCGTCCCCCACGCAATATTAGGGACTTTAAGATAGGTCACTACGGTAGGCTGGGACGGTTGGATGCGTATACGGGCGGCCTGGGGCCACGACGGTAAGAAGCCGCGAAAGTTTTCAATTTAAGATCGGACAACAAATCGAAACAAAACAGAGGACGGTGAAGTCATGTGCGAAACTCGCTTGTCATTTCTTTCGCAGAAGGCTCAATTACTGAAGAAGAGTTTCTTATTCTATACGAAGAATACCAATCAGAAGAATAAGGGTACAAATTAAAGCTAGCTAGTTTTCAAAACTGTAGTCGATGTTTTTATTTAAAATTTCCTTTCCTATAAAGCCAACACCTTTTGAGTTAAAGAAATCTTTTCTTCATAAAAATACAGTTTTAAGTTATAAAAAGACGGCTACAATCATCACTGTTAGGCCCAGTTGAAACGTTGAACTTCTCGGGTGCGGAAACTAAAGCACAAATTACTAAAATTTATTTTCACTTGTTTAAAGCATTTTATACCATTGAACATCGTGAAAATGAATCGAGTTCCACTACACTTTAAGTTCGACGCCTGAATCAACCTCGAACCATTTGGGTCGACCTAAATAGGTATTAAGTTTGGTACATGAAAAGATGAACGTTTGAACCGGGCCTTACCTTTCTTTTCGGCAATTTTCCTCTGCCATGGCGGACTACACTAGGTATAGAAAGCAAGCAGTCGCCATGCGGCCGCGAGCTAAGTTATGAATAAACTCAGACATTTTCACTTTTTTTTTTTCACTTCCCCGATAGGTAAATCAATGTAAACACAAGCCAACGCGTATTTAACCCAGTAGCTACTCAGTTTTAGAAGGAAAGTGACAATAAGTATGCAAGAACTCTTATCAGTGTCACCGTTGTCTTCGCGACGAGAAACCCGGGAAAACATACCGTCCCAGAAGGACGACGGTAAAAGGTCACGCGTGTTTTGCGTGACGTGACATCTATCTAACTGTCCCGGGCGACCGTAGTGGCGTATCTTAAAGTCCCTAATTAAGGGAGCGCAAGCAACGGCAACGGCAACGGCAACGGCGACGGCAACGAGAACGGCAAAAAAGCAATAAATTTATTCAGCAAAACAACAACTTTGCACGTGCAGCACACTTTTTGTACATTTCTTTGTCGTCACTGCACGGTTACGACGTGAAAATGCCTAATTTTACGTTTTAAGGAGGACGTGAACACAAAGCAACGGTTTTCTTTTTCTTTTTGTGAACTTGAAACAGTCCTTTAGAATTCAACTCCTGAAAAACTCGTCAACATTTGACAACTGAAAAGAGTTGGAATAGGAGCAATGAAGTTTGAAACAGCGCGAATTCACTTTTTGGGTGACGATTTCGCTGCCGTTGCCGTCGTCGTTAACGTTTTAAAAAGAGAAATGCATCTTTTACCAATCCTATTGAAATCAAATACTCAGGGGACGTTTTTGAAGCTGTTTAAAACACTCACAGCACGTGTTTTAAACATTACTTAAAACAATTGCAGAACAGATCGAGAGCAGCGTGCATAGTTTCCTCCTTGGGCTATGAAACGAGATCAGAAGATCTCCTTAAATTTCTTAATCAAGATATCCTAAGATAAGGCTTTGCCTTGTTATGCGAGTATTATAAACAAGAACGCGGACAATATCTGAGAGAACTCGTTTCGATATTGAGCAGCGAAATCAAACCCTACAAAATCTTACCTTAGATGAGGTAAGTTAAGACGTCTTTAACTTATTGGGTAGTACCGTATTCAAATGAAAGTAATATTCACTGCTGTTTTTATATTTGATCTAAAGGGATAAGAACAATAGAGAAACAATCCTCGCGTCCACTAAATGTTCCTATGGTCCTTATATTATTTTGAGCATTGTACCAGGAACGAGATTTCCATTTCCATTATCAAATGCTTTATACCTTGCCCGAGACCATGTGCACCAGCACCTCTTCTGTGACCTATACTGTATCTCGACCAAAGCAAACTCATGGCATATGACGAGAGGGCATGTCCATTTAATGAACTTCTGCTAATCAATCATAACAAACGTATTTTCCCGATATTCTAATACTTTTTTTAATGGAAAGGATAAGATATGAATAGGGTGTACAAACTGGCGTCTGAAAATGGGTTTTTCTGTTTATCTGACACAAATTAATGTAACTGCTCTCCCGCAGGGATTTGGACGGCAACGAACTCAACAAGCTCCCGGCAGGGCTTTTTTCAAATCTCGTTTCGCTGCAGACATTGTGAGTGAACGACGCATTTCTTCAAGTATTATTTTATAAACACATTACGGCTACATTTCATGACAATGATTCGCAGCTATTTGCACAAGAAACTTATAGGTCCTAGAAAGTATTATTGATTTTGTACTTTTTTTATAAGAAAGGAAAGAAATGGGAAGAATGAATTAAAGGAAGCGAGGAAAATCTTAAACAATGTTTCGTTTGGGTCTTCTTTTAACAGTCTTAGGGCTAGTCCAAACGTCGAACTTTTCGTAAGACGAGCCAAATTTAGTGAGGTAAGTTCATGAAAAGTTCGACATCTGCCTAAGTTAACTTCGTCTGAATGAGTTTGGATCATCCAACACCTTCTATCCGCATTACACTGAAGTAGTCTACTATGTTGAAACTTAACCTCCTTTGGTGTCTAGCACGGTCTAGCTAGGTCTAGTCTATGACGTCACCGATTGCTATAACCTGGGGAAAAAGTGGATTCCCTTTATTAATATGTATAAGTGTCTTCCTGCATACTAATTTGGATTTCCTGCATAATGAAGTGGATAGGTTTACTAATGAACGTCACTCTACTACAATAGGAACAATAGGCTTGCCTAGACTTGCCCGGGCTCTTTTAACCCTGATTGGATAGTAAACAATCTATTATGTGTTCAACATAAAAGCGCGCTTTCCCTTCAGTATTTCATTCTCGCAATCGCTTTACTAAGGAGAACATTTGTCCGAGTTCGTTCGTTTTGAGAAAACCTTTATTCACTTTTTGAACATCATGGCTTTTATTACCAACGTTCGCGAATTTCAAGCTCTTTTGGGTGGTTGTTCCTCGACCCACGATTGGGAATTATTGCTGGAATCTATTTTGATACCCGATGAGTGGATCCCAATGGCGTATACTCGGCTGTCGGAACTCACAGCCCAAGAGATACCGGTAAGTATTCTATTTCGTCTCTGAGTTCTCTCCTGATGACGGTTTACGTTTAATCTGTACGTTGAAATAACGAGTATTCACTAATCTTTACTTAACGTTCTACTCCACAGACTGAAATCAATCAGGACACGGGTAGTGATGAAGTCAACGATCTACTGAGCGATTCGGTAAGTTTTCCAATATGTTATGTCACGAAGTGTAAAAAGTTCACGCATCATTTATGTTGGTTATGTTAATAGACTCGACTTGGGTCAGATTTGCATTTGATCTATTAAACTAGATCGCGTATCTTTTGTTATCCTCGTTAAAGAAACAAAAGGACTCCAAACTCGATTTGCTTCAACTTTTTGTAGACAGTCGTCATATAATACTCATGGAATATGTTTCCTTGCTGTACAGTTTACGAATGCTGACCTTCGAGAAATCGAGGAGATGGAACGTATGGCGCTAGACAAGGTAACTCCATTTCCTTTTTTAATACGCAACGTACATGAATTGTTTAGTGATGAAACAACATTACGAATCTCCTTATTCGTTCAATGCCCACCTATTTCTTTAAAATGAGCGAGATTTTAAAACCTAAAGTAATCTGATTTCTTCTCTTCTTATCTAGAATAACAACGAGTCGGCACCGTTATCAGCGCAAGATACACGGGATAATTTTTTTGATGAGGTAAGCATTCATGATCATAAAATTATTTTTCTTTCACGGAATTAAGTTTGCACTATTAATTGTTCAATCACTCATGTGTATATTTCTGTTGTTCGTTTTCAGTGGACTGGCGAAACCAGTGAATTACCCACTTGGAACCCGTCGGAAACCGTAAGTCATCTTTCATGTCTACTTGTTTAGAATACGCTGAATGCAAACGTTCCCATTAAAGTTTTTTGAAAATTAAATTGTTTAGGCTCACCCAAAAAGACAACATCATTCATTCCTAAGAGTCAGAAGAAAATAAAAGTTGGCTTACTATTTATGATTTTGAAGGCGTAAATAGTTTATTCTCAGTTATCGATTCCGCTCTTCACTGATCAAATATTGTCTTCTCCCAAAGTGAATTCGTTTTTTGTGGATGAATGCACCCATATTGAAATCTATTCTATTGTTTTGTTGAAAGCATTTGCTCAATGTACTAATATTCTTCAATCATCAAGCCGAGTTGAAGAAAATAGACAGCGTATTATATATACTCAAACAGGTATCAGAGCAATTTAAGCTATTTCCACTAAGCAGTTGATTATAGCAATATAGCAGAGTTATAATATTACCCGCGCGCTTATCTCTGAAAGTCAATTATGTCGTGGATCGACACATAAAATTTAAATTTATTCTGTTGATTCATCATCAAAAACAAACCATCTACCCAGTTGTTGAGACGCTCATTGTAGACAAATAGAGTTTATCAGAGTTTCTTGTTAGTTGAGCTTTACACTAAGACCAGGTCATATTTACTAATTATAGGAAATTCAATCCGGGGATGGTCACCCTCCACCATCCAAAAAACCTCGTAAAGAATATCGTTGTGACACTTGTGGCAAGACCTTCTCTCGTTCAGGAAATCTTAAAACCCATGTACGAACCCATACTGGTGAGAAACCGTACGAATGCAACCGCTGTGATAAGAAGTTTGCTGACAAGTCGGCTCTCAATCGTCACCTGAAAGCGCACGACAAACAAGCTGCCGAACGGACGTTTACTTGCGCAACCTGTGGCGAAACCTTTCATAACCGCGCCCCTTACAACGCTCATATTCGCACCGCTCATCAAAAACCCGCCGCTGCAACTAGGAAACGCACTGCTCCAAAAACTACAGATGCTCCGTCCGCGAAAAGATCCAAGAGGTCGGACCAAGCAAGTGCGAGAACAGCGTCAGAACAACCAACTCCCACTCAAGCATCTGCTGCTGGTTCCAGTTGGGAAGCGGATCCCGTGCTTATTCCCGCCAACCTTGTTCCTGCTACAGAACAGAATATAGCAGAAACGTACAAACAACACTGGCCTCAAATCCGGACCCGATTTAGTCGCCGTAACCGTTTACAAGATTGGTATAATTTCCGCCTGTCCACGATCAGTCCCACCGCTCTCCGCGAACAACTGAGCAGGATCTTTACTGACCAGCCTACTGTGTTTAAAGTGAACTTTTCCTTTGGTTTTATTCTCCGTAATACAGAAACTGGCGTCCTCCAGTACCACCACCCTTCTGCGAACAACCATTTGGTGCTAGAACAACCGTTCCTGATTTCAAGTCCAGACGATTTAGAGCGCCTATATCAGCAGATAGCGGAGATCGATTTCCTGGAGTGGGTGCGGCAGCAGCGACCTAACAGTAAATGGGTGGTGGATCTCATCACGAATGTGACCTGGTTTGTTTGGAAGATCAGGGATCACCCGATCGGCCGTGGCAAATATCTACCAGGTTATATCGCCGACAACTACGGTCTTGACGCGCTGGAAAATAATGTGAAAACCGGTAAACCCTACGAAGATAATCTGTGTTTCTTCCGCTGTCTGGCTCTCCACAATGGTTGCCACACGAGGAATTTAGAAAGAGATACCAAGTACTATTACCAACAGTACCGAGACGCGGGGTTAGGAAAAAAGAAGTTCCATGGTATCAAGATAAGTGAACTGGACGACCTAGAAAAATTGTATGGAGTGAATATTCAAGTATACAGTCTCGCGCCTAATCAGAGCCAGAGTGAAGACGAAGACAATGAAGAAAATACTCCCGAGATTGCCGCCACCCTGCTTCGCCGCTCTCACCGCCACTACTCCAGCACGCTTTACTTGAACTTGTACGAAAACCATTTCTCGTATATTAAAGACCTGGCCCGGTACAGTAAATCCTTCTGCTGTTCTCGCTGCGGCAAGTACTGGAAAGATATGTGGAAATGTCAGCGTCATGAGAAAACCTGTGACGGTAAAGTCCAGCTCAAGTATCCTGGCGGCGCGTATCATGTCCCTAAAACTATCTTTGAAGAATTAGAAGACGAAGGTATTGTCGTACCAGAAGAATGGCGGTACTTCCCTTACCGCACCACCTTTGATTTTGAATGTTACTTTGATAAAGAGAAAGCGCAAGAATTAAAGAACACTGAAAAGTTAACCTGGCAATCCGCCCATGTGCCCTTAAGTGTGAGCGTCTGCAGTAATGTGCCTGGTTACCAAGCACCCAAATGTTTCGTGTCACAGGGAGATTCAGACTTACTTCTTGAAGAGTTTGTGCAGTACCTCACAAGGATTAGCACCAAAAGTTCATCCCTGCTCCGCCAAAGGTACGCAGAAGTATTTGAAGCTCTTGAAACCGCAAGAGGCCCGAATAACAGTGAATCCCACGAAGACCGATTAGCGCAAATTCTGGTAGACATCCAGGAGGGCAGTCAGAATTACAATGAATTTGACAGTGAAGAAGAGAGCGAAGATCAAAGTAGCGACATTGATTTAATGGCGAGTGATAATGAAGAAGATGAAGAAGAAGAAATTGAACCGGAGAATGAAGAAGACCGCGCTTTTCTCGATGATGAAATACAAGAACAGGAAGACGTCTCCTTTTATAGAAGATTGAACGTTGAAGTGGACAGAGAAAGAAGACAGCAACTGAGACAGACGCGGGACCAGTTAGAAGAGTTACAAGATATTGTAGGTGGTTCAGAGGACGTCAGTGACCACAAAGTCCTCAGTCAACTAGAGGAGAAACTGAACGCCTATATACAAGAACTGCCCGTGCTAGGCTTCAACTCTGGCAAGTACGACCTGAATGCCTCCAAAGAATTCCTGTTCCCGTACCTCATCAAGCATCAGCCCGTCAAGTTTACTGTGAAAAGGAATAATAATCATATGTGTATCAAGACAGACTCTTTAAAGTTTCTGGACATCTCTAATTATCTCGCTCCAGGGTTCAGCTACGATCAGTTCCTGAAAGCGTACGAGTGCGAACAGACCAAAGGTTTCTTCCCTTACGAGTGGATCGACAGCCTGGACAAGCTCGAAGAAACATCTCTGCCCTCGCATGAAGCTTTCTACTCAAGTCTGAAGAACCAAAACATTACAGAAGAAGAATATGAGTACTGCCAGCAAGTATGGGAAGAAAATGAAATGTCCACCTTTCAAGAGTTCTTAATCTGGTACAATAATTTGGATGTCGTTCCTTTCCTCGAGGCAGTAGAGAAAATGAGTCAGTTCTGGCAGGAGAGAAAGATCGATATGTTTAAAGATGGAATTTCTGTCCCTGGTTTAACCCTCAAGTACCTCTTCTCTTATCTTTCACCTCAAACTTACTTCAGTCTCTTCGATCAAGCGAACAGTGATCTCTACCATCTGATCAAAGACAACAACACGGGCGGCCCAAGTATTATTTTCCACCGATATCATGAAGCCGGCAAAACAAAGATCAGAGAAGCGGAGGAAGGCGAGGCTGCTAAGCTGTGTGAGAAGATCGTGGGTTATGACGCGAACGCTTTGTACCTCTGGGCGCTCATGCAAGATATGCCCACGGGAAGTTATACGAGACGCCTGTCGGACAATGAGTTCAAACCGAAAAGTTCTGTACGCATGGCTATTGAATGGTTGGAATGGGTGGCGCACAAAGAGGGAATTCACATCCGACATCAGTTAAACAATACAGAAAAGCGCATCGGTGGTCGTAAACTGCCTGTGGACGGTTTCAACGCGCAGACGCAAACTGCGTACCAGTTTCACGGCTGTTATTGGCACGGCCATGACTGTGCTCTCAACCGAGGGAAAGAGTTTAACGAGAAACGCAAGAAACCTATGGCTGAGATCAGAGAAGAAACGAGAGCCAACACGGAGTATATCCGCAGCAAAGGGTACAACGTGGTGGAAATGTATGAATGTCAGTGGAGAGAAATGAAGAGAACCAACCGAGAACTACGGCGTTTTATTGCCACCGAAGTGAGAAGAACCCTCGACAAAGTCAAGATCATGAGCCCGGAGCGAATATTGAGCGAGGTGCGAAATGAGCGTTTGTTTGGGTGCGTGGAAGTAGATATTCGTGTGCCTGAGCATTTGAAAGAGAAATTCAGTGAAATGTGCCCGATCTTCAAGAACACAGAAATCAGCCGCGATGATATTGGAGACTTCATGAAAGCGTTCGCAGAAGAGCATAACATCATGGCTCAGCCTCGGCGAAGCTTGATCGGGAGCATGAAAGGAGAAAAAATCTTGTTGGCCACACCCCTCCTCAAATGGTACTTAGAACACGGCCTGGAAGTCACCAAAGTCTACCAAGTGGTTGAATTCACCCCTGAGCCCTGCTTCAAACCCTTTGGAGATGCGGTGTCAGACGCGAGGAGAGCCGGAGATGCGGACCCCAGTAAAGCCATCATTGCAGATACCATGAAACTGGTAAGTTTTTGTTTCATTTTTTCATTCATAAAGGGGTGGGAACAATATACATTTTCACGAATAGAAAAAACTTATATCTTTGTTTATCTCTCAGGTGGGTAATTCAGGCTATGGTAAGACGATCACTAACCAACTGAAACACAGAAACGTGGAGTATTGCAGTGACGCAGAGGCCAGCCGAAAAGTCAACACCCCACTGTTCCGGAAACTGGAAAATATCACAGAAGATACTTATGAAGTAGAGTCTTGTAAGAAAACTATTAAGTTAAACTTACCTATTCAAGTCGGGTTTTTTGTGTATCAGTATGCTAAGTTACGCATGCTGCAGTTTTATTATGATTTCTTAGACAAGTATCTCGATCGCAGCGGTTTTCAAATGTGTGAAATGGATACGGATTCAGCGTATATCGCTATTGCTGGGGAGAGTGTGGAAAGTTTAGTCAAACCAGAATTGAAAGCAGAGTTCGAAGCTGATAAATGCAACTGGTTTCCCCGTACGGATACACCCGAGCATAAAGCCTATGATAAGCGAACCCCGGGTCTTTTTAAGGTTGAGTGGGAGGGACAAGGAATTATCGGGTTGTGTTCAAAAACCTACTACTGTTTTGGGGTCAAAGATAAGTTTAGTTGTAAGGGTGTCAACAAGAAATGCAATGACATTAACAAAGATAAATACCTTAATGTCTTACTTACAAAACAGAATAGTGCTGGGGTGAATCGAGGGTTCAGAGTTGTAAATAATACTATGTACACTTATGAGCAAGTTAGGGATGCCTTTTCGTATTTTTACCCGAAACGTAAAGTTTTGGCTGATGGAGTTAGCACCACTCCACTCGAAATTTAAGTTTTCAAGTTTGTAAAAAATGGATTTTGTAAATAATTTTCATTTTCTCAAGTTTGCGTATATATTACTCTCAAAATAGTTTTCCGAAATATTTGTATAAGATCGCCTCTAGTTGTAAATAGTATTTTTGCCTAGCTTTTCACGGATGTTTGTACATAGGAAATTAGTTTGTAAATAAATCATTGGTTGAATTTAATCGTGGCTTGTTTCCTGACTCGACGCGCACGACTTACACGCGAGACCTCCACGCGCTGCCCAGGGAAAAAAACACAGGGCTAAAAAGATGCCCTTTCTGCCCTTTCTGCCCGATCTGCCCTTGAAAATCAACAATAAATTTCGTGTCGCAAATAGTTTTACTCAGTTGGTATCTAACTAGAAGACATGATTGATGGTGCCCCGGAAAATATCATCTGGTGTTATAGCATGTATCAACCAGCCTACGATGAGATGCTTAAAACTATTCCGAACATTATGTTTGTTGAAGGAGTGCCTGGTGATCTGGAAACCCTAATTAATCCCTCTATTCGGAATTTAGTCGTCATTGATGACTTAATGCACGAGCTTAGCAATGATCAGCGAATGACTAATTTGTTTACCAAAGGTTGTCACCATCGCAATCTCAGCGTGATCTTTATTCTCCAAAACATTTTTCATCGTGGAAAAGAACTGAGAGATATGAGTTTGAATTCTCATTACTTAGTAGTGTTCAAAAGCCCGCGTGATAGCAGTCAAGTCAATCATTTAGCAAGACAAATGTTTCCCGGTCATGTCAAATACATGCAAGAAGCGTTTGAGGATGCAACAAAAAGGCCCTATGGATATCTATTTTGTGATCTTAAACCGGAAACACCTACCGACTTCCGGCTGCGTACGAATATTTTCCCCGGGGAGACTCAGTACGCTTACGTCAGAAAAGTATAAAAAGCGTGAACCACATCAAATTTCTTCAGTTGAGGATGGCACAGCGACTTAGAAAGAACCACGATTTTCTGAAACTGCTTGTCAAGTGTACACCAGCTCAGCGTAAAGCCATTTTAAAGGTGGCAGACGACGCTTTAGTAAGAACCATTTGTGAGTGTGTTTTAAACGTGCTTAAAGGAACAGTGCCTGTCAGTAAGCCAGCCAAGAAAAACTTTTACCTCACAAGAAATCTTTGATCGCCTTAGCCGAAAAACGTACACCACTCGATAAGAAAAAGAAATTGTTGGTACAACACGGAGGAAATTTTTTAAGTGTTTTGCTACCTCCCGTTCTCCGTGTGTTAAGTTCGATTCTTACCTAAAATGAATCACACAAAGCGTATGGTTCTCGTGCCCGAGAACACCTTGGAAAGATTACAGCAGCGCCAGCAGATTTTAACCCCACCCGTCACACAAACTCTGAGAAACTTGGATAGTGAAATGACCGATATTTTATCCAGTAAAGAACTTGATGATGAACAAAAAGCTAGGCTTTACAATCAAGTGTTTCAGCGGTACTTGACTTATTACGATCCGCGAAAAGGTCAACCTCTTCATGTGAAAATATCAACCCCCAAAGCAGTAGAAACACCTAAACCAGAAGAAAATGAACAACCTTCGGAAGAACCTGTCCCGGAAAAATTCACTTCATCAGCCGTAGAGGCAGAGGTCATGAGAAGTGTACCCAAAATTTACAAAGCCGGGGCTAGACAATTGTTGGATAAAATTAAGGAGCATCAAGATGTATTGCATTGGAATGATAAAGGAGAGCTTTTGTATGAAACCAAACCCATTCCAGGTTCTCATCTGGTGGACCTAGTCAACGACACATTGCGCCACCGCAAAGGATTTGAACCAGTAGGATGGTCGGTGTTTGCGAGGGGTCTGGCCCGAATGAATGTCCCGGAAAATCTAGTGCGTAATCCACAGAGGCAAAGTGCTGTTCGAGAATTTAAAGCAAGAGTGAGAGACGAAACCCCCAACAGTCCTTCCCGTTGGCTACCTAGCCCACCTGTGACGGTATCCCCAGTGAAAAAACAGCGGCGAAGATATGCGAGTCCACGCCCTGAGGCTGTGCGCTGGTTACGGTTATAAAATCACCACAAGACACATTATTATTATTATTATTGTAAATCATCTCTTTATTTTATTCACTCAATAAAAGATGTTGAAAAGAAATTACAAGGTGTTTATTTATTGAACTTTGTGTTGGGCTTGTGCTCTTTGCTTGTTTACATCAGTGCGATATTTCGGAAGACTTATAGGAAAATGTTTTTCAATAAATCGCTTGACAAGACTATCATTTTTACGTGTGTTATTAGAAAAACGATGCACAATTGTACTCATACTTATTTGCCGACTACGATATAAAGCAAAATACAAACAGTAATGTCCGCAGACTTTGGAATAGATGCTCTGTAATGTCACAGTATTAAAAATCCACTGGTTAGAATTGTTGCTTAAAAAGGTAGTAAATGTTCCTGAATATTTGCTGGGAGGTGCTCCGTAAGAATCGAAAAATTCTCCCTCTTGCTCCTTGGCGAAATAAAACGCCACCCAATGCGAACCTGGCTTGTCACTCGTATCCACATTAGCGATGAATAGGGCTGGGTATTGCGAAACACTCGCAGGCAGCTTGTCTGAGGGATACACGCCTTGAAACACACCTCGTGTAAATTTATCCTTTCTCAAAATAAGGGTCAGTTGAATGGTGTCCATTTCTAGTTTGTGTAGTCGTAGAGAACGTTTCGGTTTGCGTCGACCTCAATCACGTTTTGAAATTCAGCGTAGACGATAAGGTTGACCGTGTTGGCGAGTGCTTCCGAGAAATGAAGCTCCAAGCGCAGGTTTCCTTGTTTTATGAGCTCAAAATGATCTCCCGGGCAGTGATCTGGGGTCAAATCAAATGCGAATAAGGTATAACCGGAGCCGTAATCACTTCTATTTATCTGATTGCCCGTATCCTGGGAAAGCTTTCAAATACCAGAGAAAAGACTTTGATAGCCGGCTATCACATTTTGACCACCAGCGGCGTCAAACTTCAGGAACAAAGGTTTTCGGGGGATTTGTTCTCCGTCCACGTACACACCCACTTGAGTTAAATTGTGGTGATTGAAGTTGAAGGGGTTGGTACGGTAACTCCCATTGTAAGCCTCTGTGTCCACTAATCCCAATACTATGCGCTTGGGAATTTGACCCAAAAAGATGTTGTCAGGGTTAAAACTGCTAAATCCTCTTGGAATAGAGAGCACTTTACAGTCGATTCTGCGAATGGGGTACTTGGCGCTGGAGTGTTTTAGCCCAGCTGCATGGCCTAGAATGATAGAAGAGGCAACCTTGACTCTGCGTACAAACAAGATGGCTTCTGTGATAACCACTTTGAAATTAGCTCCGGCTGCTGAGGACACAAGACAAAACACATTCTTGGCTCGGTTCAGTTTGATTCTTAAATTAACTCCATTGAGCATCAACCGGTCTTGAAAGAATATATCACTGTGAATGGGTCCCATCATATCCACCGTATGACTCTCTTTGGTAAACTCATAGCGAGCCTTTAATCCAAGGTTTGCTTCATCGTCTGCAGCCAAGGGGTTCACTACATTCATCTTTCCAGCAGTATCTTTGTAAAACATGGCCATAGAAAGTTGACTTGCTTTAGCTTCTTCTCCGTAGTTCAGCAAAGACTCGAGCATGGCGCGATAAGGGTAAGTATTAGTGGATGCAGATATAAGTCGCTCATTCAAGGAAACGTCTACTTGTGAAAACAGGGAATGTAGAAACAGGTTCACGGGACCCACTTGTGTATCGGCATCTAACGCGGTTCCGTTTGCTTTCGTGATCTTAGCTTTCACATAAAGTTGTGTCCGCGCTAAATCTAAATATTCTTCTCGGTTCCAGATACGTTAAATTCAATAGGACCAGTGTCCGTGATGTTGCTGAGAGGATGATATTCAATCCATTGCCCTTTGTGAATAGAGGTTTGTGTAGCAGGAATAGTAAAAAGATCCAGCTCTGATTTAGTACACTCACGAGACTCGTGATGAACGAAGGCCATTCTATTCTTTATCAAAAATGGTTTTCGATTTCTTCTGCTGTGGAGATGTTTTTGCTTTCTTTCCTGGAGGCGAACTGATTGTTGAGCCTTGCGCTTTCCTTTTATAGCTTTTTTTTTGCCTGCACCTGACTGTCCTTGCTGTGACTTCTGGGACGTCATGTTACCTATAGCTTGTTTAGCCTGTTTGCTGATTGCTGTTTTAATGTTATCTCCGCCAAGCACATCTTGGGCAACATTGACACCCGTTTGTAAAGCTTTTTTTCCAATCACCTTAGCACCTTGTTGCAGGTGAGGTATCGCCCAGCGGAACAGACCTTTAAATATGGATCCTAAGCCATAACCTCGCTGAAATCGAGCTCCGTGAAATGCGGGTAAATTTCCACCTTTTTGCTTGGCTTGATCTACATAGTACTGTTCGTAAAACTTATGATTTGGGGCGTGGAGCTTTTTCATTTTTAAAAGTACTGAGGTTGACTCTGACGAAAATGAAGTGTTAACAACACTCGTCCAAACTCAAATGGCACAGATTCCCCTGTGTCTCGCTTTATATTGACTTCGATGGTTTCAAATTGCTTTCTGCTGACAGGTAAATATTGAGGGCGCACAAACGATTTACTGACTCGCTGACCGACCTCTCCTTCTACAGGAACAATTCGAAGCAAAGGGACCAGTGCATCACCAACATATTGTGACTGAATAAGATCACAGTAAACGAAAAGATCGTGAAAACCGTATTCCAAATCCACTTGTCTGTCGCCCGTGGTGGTCTTTGAAATAGTTTGTTCGGGAGTGAACCCCATATATAGGCCATATCATTTAACGAGACTTCTGCGTTGTTTTTCAAATGAACCGTAACCTTTCTGCTGAGATTATCGTATGAAAACCGTACATCATCTGTATACCGATTTTCATTGTCCACTAACTCTTTCATCTTTGATAAGATATCTTCAATGGAAGAATAATGACCCGAAAGCATCTCCAGGGAGTCCCAAACACCGTGGAGTTTTTCATTTCGAACGTAAAATCGAAACCGTTGAATATTATTCCAGCTATGTGGATAATGGATCTCGGTCAAAGCCACTTCCCATTCGCCTGTAAGGTTTAGGGTTTGTGGTAAACTAACTCGGTACTCTGTTAATGTGTTATGAGGAAATTTATCGAGGCTGCTATTGCTAGGGAGGTGCAGATAAAACTGTGTTACCTCCATCGTTTCGTGTGTTCAAATGAACTTTTTAATCTGGGTATTCTTAATTTATTAGAAACCACACAACAACAATTGTTTTCAGTTAAAATAACCCTTTTATTGGCTTCACACAAAATGTTACAACTTTGAGATATTACTTTCTGCTATCCAGCTATTAAACTTGTCTGGGTACCCTTTCCATTTTACAAAGTATTCAACTATTCCTTTACGCTTTCTCTTCCGCAAAATCTTTTCAACGCGGTACACATCATCATTCTTAATAATTTTCTGCAATTCAGGCTCATAAAATGTGCCATCTAAGATTTCACCTGCATCATCTTTTAGTTTATAAACGGGGACTTGACGAGCCATTCGCTTGTAAACAGTAAAAATTTCTTCCGTGAAATTAGGTAAGTACGATTTTTCAAACGTTCTCTTTACTTTGCTGATCCTCACGCGATCTCCCACTTGAAATTTATATCGCACAGGCTTTTGAACATCATCCCCATACAAAGTATCCCACACTTGAGCTTCGTTCTTTTTAGTTACCTGACTTGGTTTCATTTTAATACTTCGGTGGTAGGTGTTATTGTAAGAAGATACTAACTGGGGTAATACATTGATATAGGTGAGAGTGTTTTTGGCCGTGAAATATTTGTACATCTTATTCTTAAATGTTCGGTTAAAACGCTCAACCACTGAGGCTTTGAGCCCAGAGTTAACAGTAAAAAAGTCAATGTTGTTGTCACGCAGCAATTTCTGCAACACGCGATTTAGAAACTCTGTTCCTTGATCCGTTTGCAGTTTAGTAGGTTTGCGACCAGTAGAAAGGATCTTTTGGACCAGTTCTTGACCTTGTTTTGTCTTCAAAGGTAACACAAAAGCGTACTTGCTGAAGATATCTATACACGTCAGTAGGTATTTATATCCCTTGTTGTATCGGCTGAGATTTTGAACGTCGACCAGATCTGCTTGAAATTGTGCATCAATACCGGGAACGATGACTCGACTTCTTTTGTAATGTCTACGCGCGGGCTTGTGAAGAGTATAAACATCTTGCTGACTCAACCAATCTTGAACTTGTTTACGCGATATCTTGTTCTTTCCTTTCTCTTTGACTGCTCTGTAAACAGCATCTAAACCACCGAAACTTGCGGGTTGGCTTGGGTCGAGATAAATGCTGGTCAGTGCTTTCTCCATCACAGAACTCGGAATTTTGTACAATAACTTGACCCCCGCAACAGGCTAATACGCAACGAATGCGGTTGAAAATGCGCTCTAATACCAGAGAGGGTGAAGATGGCCAGCAACCCATTACTAGTGATTGCTATGAAGGTTCAAAGCTGAATGATTTCTTTTTTCTTCGTGTTTACTTATATAGCTACTCTCGAATCTGGGTAAGAGTGGGCACGAGAAAATTAAATAATAGTTCCCATTCCTCCTCGGTTGGTTCTAGCTGATCCGCGAAGTTCAAAAATACCACCAATCGTCCCCAGTTTACTTTTGAAAAGACCTCAGAGTGGAGTTTTTTCAACTTTTCTAGACTCGAACCTGGCAGATCTTTAACTTGTTGTTGAAGCATTTCCATTTCACTTGAAGACACTTTCAATGCTTTGGCTTGTGCGCGACACAGAGAAAAGTCGACTCGAAGCAAAGACAGAGAAAGCCCCATCTTGACTAAGACAGAGACAAACACACACTGACTCATAATTTAGACATAAACAAATTTTATTCCTTTTAGAAACAAAGCTTATTTTGAATGTCATTAATTATCAAGTCAAGGTCCATTGGTTGTTCAAAACGAGCGAACTCGGACAAATGTTCTCCTTAAAAAAGCGATTGCAAGAATAAAATGCTGAACGGAGAGCGCGCTTTTATGTTGAACACATAATAGATTGTTTACTATCCAATCAGGGTTAAAAGAGCCCGGGCAAGTCTAGGCAAGCCTATTGTTCCTATTGTAGTAGAGTGACGCTCATTAGTAAACCTATCCACTTCATTATGCAGGAAATCCAAATTAGTATGCAGGAAGACACTTATACATATTAATAAAGGGAATCCACTTTTTCCCCAGGTTATAACAATCGGTGACGTCATAGACTAGACCTAGCTAGACCGTGCTAGACACCAAAGGGGGTTAAGTTTCAACATAGTAGACTACTCACTGAAAAGCGTCGCCCGTCAAAAGTGGGGTGTTCATTAGGTTTGCGAGGGAAAACGAGGTTTCAAAGGCTACCGCCGTTTTCAGACTCGTATGATATTTACAGCGAGCAGCAATTGTCACACTTTCAAGAGAGAATACAGAAAGAAAAGGAATAGGTTGGCAATGTTTTAATTGTTGGAATGTCTTTGTCATCGCTACAGAGAAGAAAATATTCATGCAACAAGAAGCATTTTTTTCGTGCTCACTAAATTAAAACTTCCCAATTAATGTAGTTTCTGGCGAATCGATTCGATGGCAAAACAGTCATGCTAATCAGAAAATATATCAATGAATAAGATTGAATAAAAACGTTAAGCAGCGTTTATTATCATCGGAAGTTAAAGAATTTACGAAAGCGGTAGTCGTTTTTATGAGACCGCTGTTCAGATTTCGAGTTTAAATATGTAACTGTAGCGTTCTTTAAGGAGACTGTTGCTCTTTATTTGCCCTTATGCTTTGTTAATATCAATATTTTAAACGAAGAATGTACGCGCGATTGCCTTTTCGTGGAATTTAGCAGTACATTTTAAGGTTTATAATAAATCTTGTTGCTCGTTATGTTAATCTAAAATTAAAACCTAGGTTACCAGAAGGCAGAAAACAATTCAAGTAGGTGCGTGCAAAATAGTGTTTATAGCTAGCTCCAACGAGAAACAAACAGACAAACAAAAAATAAACAAGGATGAGGTCGTCTTTTACTGATAATTCTTACTTAACCTTAACCTTATTCTTGCAGGTGGCTGAACAACAACCAAATTAAACAGCTTCCATTTGGAATATTTTACAATCTATCTAAGCTACAGCGGTTGTAAGTTTGTATTTTTTCAGTTGTCTGTTGCTTATTATCGAGATTACAACAACCACCATAATACGCAAGCAACCATGTATATAAGAGTCCGTAAAGAGAACCTACACGGCTTAGCATACAAGGTACATAAAGCGGGAGAGTTAACATAAAAGTGCCAAGCACAGATGTATCTAACACGCATTTAAAAAAAATGCTTCAATCTATTCCCAAGTCTGTCACCAGTCAAATATAAGACAAGAAAAGTAGGCACTCTCTAGTCACGCAGCACAGATCAAGCTAAGATTTAATAAGTAGCCTAATTTTCTATGTAGTATGGCTATGTCAACCTATTTTCATTCAAGGCAGTGGATCAGATAATTAACTTTAATTATAGAGGAGCTCTCTCGCGCGCCTGCGGAGCACTATGGGTAAGCAAATCTACCTATCCCAGAAACATTTTGTAATCACTTGACCGTACACCGACGGAACGAACGACCGTCCGTCCGCACCACAGGGAAACCAATGTTTACTCTCACACTTTCTAGGTAGTTTGGTAACCCAGGAGAAAAAAGCCCAGTGTCTGATAATACCACAGGACGAATCCAGTAATATTACAGTGTTTGTATGCGGTATAAAAATACGATCCTAAAATCTGAAAATGCTCGCGAAGGAGACGGGCCAACATGACGGACTTAGAGCTACAAAAACACTTTATACAAGTGAGCTTACGGTGATTTGAAATAATCTTTGGCCAATTATCACACGTTACTAAAGAACACATTTCGCAATCTTAGGGTCGCAGACATCGCTTCGGAAGCCGCTTTTTCAATTATTCGTTTGCTCTTAATGTCACCTTTTAAGTCACAAGAGACACTAAATGCCAATTAGTGAACGTTTTCCAGAAACAGTGCTTCGTTTAGCTTGCGTGGCTAGCAGCAATTTTCGCCTGGACTTTTATTAATAAGTAATTCTACCTTGCATATTTCAAAAATCTGGGGCAAATACGCTTTTAATCTTTGCGTTAATGCATAATTTTTCTGTGTGAAAGGCTATCCTAGCTTAGATAGCAATGCAGAACCGCCAAGTTTCATGAGTGAAATCCAGAATAGCTCCGTTTTCTCAAAATCAGCCAGTCTTATACCACACAACTCTTTTGTGAGTACATAGCACTGTTTATGTGGGTCGAGAGAGCCGCTTGCGGTAAAACCGTTATAAGGGACAAAGGTTTGAACAGAGGCACATGTGCCTCTGATGGTTGCTTCATCAAGAGGGTCGGCCGGAGTATGACTGAACAACAAAATACATGGTGTTTTCTAAAGTTTCCGGTCGCCAAAGTAGAATATTAGCTCGTTTGTTAGAATTTAACTTTTAACAAAGGCTCCCACAATGCGATAGCCTCGATCTTTACCAGCTACCGGGACAAAGGTTTGAACAGAGGCACATGTGCGGACAATGGACACTTACTGAAGCTGAAACAAAAGAAAAAGAAAAACTACCCGAGATAAAAAATTGACTACAACAAGTATACACAAACTGGCATCGGAAATTGCCTTTAAGGGACATGAATAAATTCCCTTTTGTCCTCATTGTCCCTTCTTGAAACTGACTATAAATGTGATGAATGTGGACGTGATTCCGGTTATTGTAAACATTGTAGTGAAAGTGCTTTTGATAAATCTAATGACGAAGAGATGTCGGAGATGTCGTTCAAAGAATATCCCGTCCGGGTGAAAAAAAAAATCAGGAAAAGGAGGGTGGAAAATTACCGCCACCAGCGACAAAAAATAATGGCAAATGCAATTAGTTGATGAAGATGTTTCTGCTTTTTTACTGGCACTGAAGAAAGAGACAAGCCTACAAACAACTACACAGTCATCCCATTTCTGAGTATAATGCCATGCATAAATATTTTATTCCTTTTATTCCTCTTCATGATTTTTTAAGCCACATCAAGAGATACATCGTGTACATATTTCTATCTAAGATATTGCCGTTTTCCGTTAGTTTTCGAGGTCACGAAAAATTTAAGAAATAACGAAGAAAATGCTTCGATAATACAGCCCAAATGAGCTGCGAGGAGATAGTTAAAATAAATAGAAGTTTTTTTCTTTAAATAATAAAAGCAACGCTTGAAGCGTAGCAAAGATGTTGTGGATTTCTCTTCTTATGTGGATGGAAAAATACGGATAATATATATTTAATACTACATATGACATAGGCGTATATTACATATGAGATATGAAGCACTTGGAAAGTTTCAAGATCACTTCAGTAAAGTTACAAGAAGATCGCCCATCTCCTGAAACTTCATGCGGGAGCCAGTAGTAGATAAGGCACCGGTTACGCCGTTTCTTTGCGGATTTAATTAACTTTTTGTGCGGTATAAATTAACGCAGATGACGTCATGCATCTCATTAAGATAGGATGATGTCATAGTTCAAATTAACGCCGATGACGTCACGCATGCCGTTAAGATAGGATGATGTCATAGTTTATTTTAGCTGGCTGACGTCATGCATGTCATATAGATAGGATGATGTCATAGTTTATTTGTAGCTGGCAAGGAGCAAGTGA